TCCCATTTGTGTTCTCTAAATCAAGCAGAAATGGAAGCCAGCCATGGTGGCACACTCTGTAATCTCAGCACTCTGGGAGGCTGAGGCAGGAGGCCTGCAAGTGTCACGCCAGCCTGGGCAATTGAGAGACTTAGCAAGATTAGTTCTCAAAAAAAAAAGTTTATTTTGGTGGCACATGGCCATAATCTAGTGATCTACTATGGTGGCACATGCCTGTAATCTAGTGATTCCAAAGGCTATGGCAAGAGGATTGCAAGTTCAAAGCCAGCCTGGACAATTTAGTGAGACCCTATCTCAAAAATAAAAGAAAAACTCAAGATGCTGAGTCTGGAGGATCTCTGTGAGTCAATGCCAGCCTGAGCTACACAGCAAGACTCTAACTCAAAGAAACCAAAATAACAATAATAAATATTAATAAAGGTAGGGGCTGGGGCTTTGGCTTGGTGGCATAGGCGGCCTGCCTGGCAAGTGCGAGGTCCTGAGTTCTATCCCCATAGCAAAAAAAAATTAATAAGGGTGGTGGCAGTAGCTGAGTGGTCAAGTACCTCTGGTTCAATCCCTAGCACCACACATAAGCTAACAAATAAATACATTTTTGGAAAAAGCTAGGCATGTAGCTCAGTGCAAAGGCCCTAAGGTCATTCTCTATGAAATGGAGCAAAGCAAGTTGGGGAGCAGTAGGTGGAAGTTGGGGATCAAGTGTTTGGTGGAAATGAAGACTGGGAAGTTAGGAAAGAATTACCCCAACACGAGTAAAGCAGCCACTTCTGCCCATCAATCACCTTAGCCCCTTCCAGTACCCTGGCTATGGGTTAGCAAAGAGTAGGGAATGGGTCTGAGTGAGTCATGCTTCTGGTAGTGAAGGCAAGCGTGGAAAAAGAAGCAGGTACTTCCGGTCTGTATTTCAGGATTTTTGCTACCTTTTGTTTTTCCCCCTCTCTTACCCTTCTTCAATCCTTTGCCCACCCCCACTTTTTCTTTTGAAGACAGGATCTTGATTTATATTTCAAACTGCCCTGGAACTCACTGTGTAGCCCAGGGTGGCTGCAAACTCATGGCAATCCTCCTGCCTCAGCCTCCCAAATGCTGGGATTACAAGTGCGTGGCTCCACAGCAGCTGTTTTGTCTTGTGTTGACAAGAGTCTCCCTTTCCAGCTCAGCCTCACTCTCAACTGGTGATCCTGCCTCAGCCTCCCAAGCTCTGAGATCACAGGCTCCATCACACATCAAGTTTTGTTTTGTTTTCGTGTTTAGTATGTACTAGGTATTGGATCCTTCAAATGTTCATAGCTTCTAGTTTCACATTGCTATTTGTCAGCAGAGAAAGCAGAGGAGGAGGAGGAGGTGGGTGTCACTTCTACCATCAGAATTTGGGCCTCACCATCCCTCGGCCTTCCTCCTCCAGTTAGAAAAGAGGCTGGACGGTCCAGTGTGGTGTAGAGTGTAAAATAAAGCATCTGACCCCAGGGTGGTCACCCATACCCATAATCTAAGTATTCTGGAAGGCTGAGACAGGAGGATTGAAAGTTCAAGTCCAGCTTGGGCAATTTAGTAAGAGCCTGTCTATAAATAAAAAAGGGAGGTCTCAATCCCCAGTACTGCAGGAAAACAAAACAACAAAAACACACGAAAAGGAAAACACCAGCTGTCAGGCTGGAGGGAGCAGTGGTACAAAGAAGATGGCGGGCTGGTCTGGCTTCCCAGCCACTGTGGGGGCCCTGGGATCACAGCACGCCTCTTCCCTAGGCGCTGGGAATGAGAGGCCGGAGGTCAACAGTAGAAGCTGCAGGCAAGGCTGGTTCACGTTCTCCTGGCCCCTTGCGGGGGCAGGAGGAAGTCAGAGCCAGGGCCACCCCAGAGGCCTCTTCCCCATCCGTCACTCCAGATAAATAGGAAGCAGGGACTTGATTTGGGAACTGGTTTGGTGCCAGCTGAGTCCCAATGCCTTAGAATGACTCTGTTTTTCCCAGCCACCTGCTGCGCAGAATCAGGGGACTCAGGTGAGCTCCTGAAGGAAGTCACTCTACTGAGGGTAGGGTCTGACTCAGTTTCCCTCCAGAGAGATGAGAACCTGAGGCACTCTGGGCCTTCTTGCTTACTGACTGGCTAAGTGTTTCTGGATTTTTGGGTCCAGATCCTTGCCATATCCATTCTCCACCAGCCTACATAAGGACTGTTCCCTCCCATGGAGTCCCCAAATCCTGCTGCTTGCAGTCTCTTACCCTACTCTGGCCTGATTTAGTTGTAATTGGTGGTGGTGGTGGTTTTTGGCCCCTGCTCCAGATGTTGCTGGGTCCTCTGCCTGCTGTTCCCCTGTCCCCTCTTCCAGCCAGCAAGATGACTATGTAGGGTAGCAGAAGTGGCAGCCCAGCCTTGGTCAGTGAGGAGGGACAGCCTGGGACAGTAGAGTAAGAGGAGGGGACTCTGAGAGGGGCCAGGGATATTTCCTGGTATAGAATCTCTTCTCTTGCCCTCTGACAATTATCTCAGTGTCTTGTCCTTGCCATGGTCAAGCCCGAGAGCTCAAGGGCGTCCCCAGAAGATAAAGCCAGGAGGAAGGGGTGGTGTAGGGAATGGCCACTTCTGATATTCTCCATGACGGGCGGGAAGGTCAATGTAGAGAAACTGAAAATGGTTTTGCCCTGGGCCGAGGGACTCCCTGGGTGTACATGTCCAGTTTTGGGGAAACTGAGCCAAGCCTAGAGAAACAGCTGCTGAGCAGAGATGAGGTGCAGGGTACAGGGAAGGCAGATGGCCTGGCTCCAGGCGCTGCCTGCTGTCACTATGAATGCAAGGCATCTCCCTGGAAATTGGCCTGATTTCCTGCCAGAGCGGGTGGTGTGAGCTCCAAGCAGCACCATCCTCAAGACTTGAATACTCTTTCCCAAGTGGTAAGGACCAGGCATCCACCTACACGGGGAGTAGCTGCTGCAAAGTTGACCACTTCCCTCCTGAAGGGGCATCTGGAAGTGCACACCTGCAATCCCAGCACTGAGGAGGCTGAGGCAGGACTGCCAAGAGTTTGAGGCCAGGCTGGGCTGTAATGATGACACCCTGTCTCAAAAAGTGGGAAGAGCAGTGTGGGCAGTGAGTAGTGAGAAAATAGCTGCAGGATCCAGCGATGGGGTGCAGTGGGGGCCGCAGGCTGCTGTAACAGGAAAGGAATAGGAGGTGGGAGCAGGCAAAACTCGAGAGTGGAATCTAGGAAAGAGAGAAGCCAGGTGGCTAAGAACCTGCGCTCAGTGAGGGGTCTAGGTTCTCCTTGCTTTTTGCGTTGGGTGTTTCCCTGCACATATTTGGCGTCTGATTTTTTAATTCTTATTGTTTTCCTACTGGGGATTAAACCCAGGTCCTTCATACTGAGCTACACTTTCTCTTTTTTTTTTTTTTCTAAATTTTGAGACGGGGCCTCACTAAATTGCTAAACTGACCAGGTTGAGTTTGAATGTACCATTCTGATCCTCCCGATTCAATCTCCCAAAGTACTGGGATTACAGGTACGAGTCACCACACCCCGCAGTTGTTTTGCATAAATAATATTCTCCAGTGGAGTCACTTGGGCAAACACAAAGGGAGACACTGCAGGGCCTATGGGTGGGCTGGGGAGAAGGCAGAAGGCCATAGGTAGTAACAGTCTTGAGGCGTACAAGCTGGGGCTCCTCCAGCTACACTCCTTTGGACAGGAGTCCTTGTTGGCCTTTTGACCCAAGCAGCAGACACCCAGGGTCCTGGCATGCGCTGTCCTAACTGCCACATGTCATTTCTGGGGCCTGAGGTGCTGCTCTCCTGGGTTCATCCTGATTGTCACTCACAAGGCGGCCTAGGGATAGATGAAAGGAAATAACAGATGGAGCTAGGATGCTTGGGCTGGGTATCAGCTGCCTCAGGATCTGGGACCCGGGGGAGCTGGAAGAAGGAGTAGGAGCACAGGTGCTGGGGGTTTCGCAGTTTCCTCCTGTCCCTCCGTGTAAATGATTAGCAAAACCTATCTGTGGACAGAGCTGGCCTGAGGGCTGGGCACAGGGAGGCTGGGGGAGCCCAGCCTAAGGTGGAAAACATCCAAATTCAAGCTTCCCACAGGAGGGAAACCAGCAAACACTAAAAACTATGAACATAATAATCTCCAATATGTTTTTACTTTTGCTTTTTTTCTCTCTCTTGAAACAGAGTCTATGTAGTTCAGGCTAGCCTTGAACTCCCTGTGTAGCTCAGGCTGGTAATTCTCCTGCTCCAGCCTTTTGACTACTGGGATTGCAGGTGTATAGCACCATGTCCAGATGTCAGATATAAATATTTTAAAAAGTAAACATTAAAAGCAATAATTTTTTTCTTTTGGATTTTTGTTTTTAGGTACCAGGGATCAAACTCACGACCTTATGCTTGCAGACAGGCGTTTCGACACTGAGCTATATCCCCAGCCCAAGACATGGCTTTACTGTGTAGTTCAGCCTAGACTTCAATTCACTACATAACCCAGATGGGCTTCAAACTCATGACAATCCTCCTGCTTCAGCCTTTTGAGTGCTGGGATTACAGGGTCTTGCCAAGTGGCCGACTTGCAGTTTTCAGGATCAGGAGATTCTGGGCAAACTGTCCTTGTGGAATATAGGTGTGGAAAATGTGAATTCCAGCGGCATTAGGGGTGTTAGAGGAAAAAAATTTTAAAAGCTGAGAGAGAACATAATTGCTAAGTCCTTGCTGGCCTACTAACAAAACTGGAGGGTAACCAGAGGGTATTGGAATAGCACCAAAAGCCCCGCAATGACATCACTGGGCAATGCCCAGTTGTTCCTCGACCCCAGGGTCTCTGTAGTGCCCCAGTTCCTTGGAGGTTTGCCTTAAAGGACAGAAGCCAGGCAGTCTGAGTAGTTCAGCCCTGAGCTTTCTGTCCAGTTTAGACAAATGCAGGTCCTTAGTAAAGACTACTATTCCCAGAAGGCACTGTGGCAGGGCTTTTCTCTTACTCCATTTCTATTGGCTTCTGCCACTAACTCCCAGCCAGTAAAAAATGAGTTCCTTGATTGGTGCCAACATGGCGCTGCCTGGGAGGTAGAGCACAATTGTCCGGTAGGCTCAAAGTTGGGGAAGTGGTGGATGAAAAGGAAATAGGGAATTATAGTTTTAGAAGACCATAAGGCGGGTGGGTGGTAGAGGGATCTAGACTTAGGGGTAGTAGTGGCTGAGGGGTGCAGCCAGAGCCAAGAAAATAAGCAACTGGGACTGGTTTATCCCCTTCTTGCTCTCTTTAATCTTTGTAGTAGCTTCTTTTACAGTTTTATTTCTTATTGTTTGGCTAAAGCCAAATGAGATGAGACAGGTCTCGCTATGTAATTCGGGTTGGTCTTGAACTCAATCTGTATCCCAGGCTGACCTCGAACTCGCGACGATCCTCCTGCTCCAGCCTCCCGTGTACTGGGATTAGGAATGTGGCGGAGCTCAGCCCTATTAGCTTCTTTGACACCCTCTTCTCATTGCCCTAGTTCAAGGAAGGATGGCTCAGCCGGGGACGTCCTGACAGGATTTCAGTTTTGCCTTCCTCCTGCTTTTTGTGCATCGTTCCTCTACCTTGCTTAAATCCTCCCAAGCCTCCATCCTGTGTAACTCTGCCTTCGCTATCTTTTCTTCAGGACCCCATTTCTAGTTCCATTTCTCACAAGTCGAAGCTGACGGCCTCCGGCCCCACATCAGAGTGCAATCATGAAGGTGGTGAACCTGAAGCAAGCCATTTTGCAAGCCTGGAAGGAGCGCTGGAGTGACTACCAATGGGCCATCAACATGAAGAAATTCTTTCCCAGAGGAGCCACCTGGGACATTCTCAACCTGGCAGGTCTCAAGGGAAGTGGGGAGGCAGGACGGAGTGGTACCCTGAGACAGGTACCATTTGGTCTCATTTGTTTTCCCACTGCAGAAGCACTGCTGGAGCAGGCCATGGTCGGACCATCCCCCAACCCACTCATTCTGTCTTACCTGAAGTACGCCATTAGCTCCCAGGTAAACGGCCCCCTTCCCAGGAGCGAGGCTTTGGGAGTCAAATCGCTTGGAATCATGTTAGCTCACATATTCGAGATGAATTTCAACAGATCACCTCTGAGTTTCAGTTTTCTTTCTTTCTTTTTTTGTCTGAGACAGGCCTTACTGTGTAGTTTGGGCTGGCCTTGAACTCACTGTGTAATCCAGACCAGCCTCAGACTATCAGCAGTGCTCTTGCATTATTCTCCCAAGTGCTGAGATTACAGAGTACAAGTGCCATCATGCCTGGCTTGTTTTATTTTTTGAGACTGGGTCTCACTATGGAGTTTAAATTACTCTGGAACTCTATGTAACCTATGCTGACCTTAGACTTGGTGATCCCCCTGCCTCAGCCTTCTGAGTGCTGGAATCACAGGTTTACATCAATGAATTTGAATTTTCTCTCTCTTTTTCTTTTTTTGTTTTTTTTGGTACCAGGAATTGAACTCATGACCTTGCCCTTGCCAGGCAGGCACTTATGCCACTGAGCTAAATCCCTGACCCAGATTTTGATCTTCTTGTAAAATAGGAATAATTTTTTTGATGAATGTTACATTCACATACTCTAACCATAACTTTATACCTGTGCTTGCATGTATAAGACAGTGGTAGACCCTAGGGATGTAACTGAATATGAGTGGATCCTAGCGCAAGGATGTCTCGGGTCCTACAGGTGTTTAATCAGTCGCAGAGTTTATGATAAAGTTTAGAACTGAGTGTAGGTTCCATAAAAGTACATGGTGGGGGCACCTGGCTGGTCTGACCTAGCAGGGAAGGCTTTCTAGAAGAAGTGCTATTTAAACCAGGATCTGAATGTTAAGTACAACGAGGCAAAGCGTAAAAAGGTTGGAGGGAACCAGCACATGACATTTAAAAAATAGAAATTGTGGCTTTGAGAATCCTTTTGTTTTGTTTTGTGTTTGTTTGTGAGACCAGGTCTCACTGTATAGTTCAGGCTGTCCTTGAACTCACTAAGTAGCCTGTGCTGGCCTCAAACTCACATAATCCTCCTACCTCAGCCTCCCAAGTGCCAGGATTGTAGGTGTGTGCCGCCAACCCAGTGAGGATCTCTTTGAACTTTTAATTTCTTTCTTTTTTTCTGAGATAGAGTTTTTTTTTGGGGGGGGGGATAGGCTGGTCTCAGACTTGGGCCTCTGCTGTTTCAGCTTCCAAACGCTGGGGTTATGGCATACAGTACAATGCTCAGCCGTTTGAGAAATTAAAACAAATTAAATATTTATAAATTCACCTAAAAGTTATTTTTAAAAACTTTATTATTTTGCTTCCCATATCTTCAGATATAGTAAAGTCAAACAAAACAGAACAGAATGGAACCAATAAGAACAAAACAATGAAAATAAAAAAAGGACTGAATGTAATACAGGGTAAAAAAAACCCCAAAACCCTTATTATGTGGAAACACAAGTAACATTATAGTTCAAAATAACCATATTTTCCAAAACAAAGAATGCCAGGAAAATGGCATTGTTTTATACTTTGCAAATCTTTACTGTGTGGCTTAATAGGAGGCAGCTGGCTTCTCACATGTGCTTCTAACTCAAGTCGTTACAGGGCCTCTTCTGCTTAGTATGTGAAGAACGTGTGGCCTTGGATATCAGCTGTTTAAATTGAAAGGGCAGAAAGGCTTTAATAAACTTTCTAGATAGCAGATATTCTTCAATACTATATTAAAATTTTTTACAGTCTTACCAGTGAACATTTTATACTTTGTTGGGTTAAAATCCAGTGGTCTCTCTGTTGCACTTTAAATGGATCTTCTGGTCATGGATGACTTTTGTAAAGTCACAAAGTGGCCATTTGGAAAAGGTCCATGACTGAGTTCTACAGATAATCCAGTTCTGGATACACGTAATATCTGCACGAACACTGGGGAGCCCCTGGGGCACCCCACCGTACATTGTGAAAGAGTGAAAAGGCAAATAACCTCTGAGTAGCATATGAAAAATACTTGTGACTTCCCAGACCTCTCTTTTTTCCCTTTTGGTCCAGGGATCAAACTCACAACCTAGCGCTTGCCAGACAGGCATTTATGCCGCTGAGCTGAGTCCCCGACCCTCCAGACCTCTTGTTTGAGAAAGAGACTCACTATGTAGTTTAGGCTGGTTTTGAATTCACTATATAGCCCAGCCCAGATCCTCCTGCCTCAGCCTCCCAAGTGCTGGGATTCTGAGCCTCTTAAAAAGGTCTTGGGAACCATTCCCATATGCATTATGGTGCACTCCCATAATTCCAGCACTGAGGAGCCTATGGCAGGAGGATTGCTGTGAGTTTAAAGGCTAGACAAAAGCTTGGACCATGTAACAAGACCCTGTCTCAAAAAAATTGCTTTTTGTTTTGTTTCTTTCCTTTTTTTTTTTTTGGTGGAACCAGGTATTGAACTCACAACCTTGCGCTTGCCAAGCAGGCGCTTTTGCCGCTGAGCTAAATTCCCAGCCCCTCTTTTTGTATCAGGAGTCAAACTCATGACTTCCGCTTGCCAGGCAGGTGCTATGCCACCGAGCTACCTCTCACTTACCTGGCTTTTTTTTTTTTTCAATCTTTTTGAGGCAGGGTCTCACTAATGCAGTTCAGGTGGCCTTGAACTCACTTTGTAGCTCAAAGTCACAGCAGTCCTTCTGCCTTAGCCTCCTGAGTGCTGTTACCTGGCTTTTAAATGTCCTGTTTTTTTGTTTTTTGCATTGTAGGGAAGCAGATTCATAATCTCACACACGCTAGGAAAGCTCTGAGCGACACCTCGGGCCTTAAATGTCCAAATACAATCTGTCTTGTGATCCTTATGTGTTTTAACTTTTCTGTCACTTTTTTAGCTTTGTAATTTTTTTCCTAGCATGCAGAAGTTTTTGTGATCTTTTCTCTTTTTTGTGGTGTGAGGCAGCGCTTCAGGCTTCAGGTGAGCCCTTTCCCCCAGTCTCCCCACAGGGAATTCTTAAGGTCTCCATTAACCTTTAACCTTTTTTGCAACATAGCTTTTGCCTTGCTAGGGATTTGTCTGCCCTAAGGGTATAAGTATAGGCTCTAATTTCTGCTAACTCTTGACTTTATTTTTTGCATTGTTTTCTTTCCTTAATTTGTTTAATCTATTTAGAGTTTATTGTATGGGGGATTCAAATATTTATTTTTGCAAAATACATTCGCAATTGGCTCAACAACCCTTACTGGATGGGCCATTCTTTGTCATTTTTTTTTAACTTTTTTTTTTTTAAATTTCCATAGGAGACAGGATCTCACTGTGCAGTTCAGGCTGGTCTTGAGCTCACTTTGTATCCCAGGCTGGCCTCAGACACGCAGTGATCTTCCTGCCTCAGCCTCTGTTTTTGTTTGAGATGGGTCTCACTGTGCAGTTCAGGCTGGCCTTGACCTCATGGTAGTCCTGCTTCAGCCTCCTGAGTGCTAACATTATGAGGTGTCCCATCATCCCTGGGTACAGTTTTGTTTTTTTGAGAGAGGTCACTCTGTGTTACCCAGGGTAGCCTTAAATTCCAGTCATCTGGCCTCAGCCTTCTAAGTGCAGGGTTTATCCCCACACGTGGTTCTGTCTTGTCTTTTATTTTGTTTTGTTGTTTTGGTTCTTTTTACACAGGGTCTTGCAGTGGAATCTAGACTGGCCTTGAACTCACCAGGCTGGCCTTAAACTCATGGAGATCCTCCTGCCTCAGCTCCTAAGTGCTTGGATTATAGGTGTACAGTACCATGCCTGGCCATAAGGGCTTTTCATATCTTAAGTAGTGTTATGGACAGCCTCTTTCTTATCACTTCCGAACATTTCATTTATGTATTTTTCATTTTTGTGCTTTACTGTTTTGCTCACTATAGCTTTATAGTGTATTTTCCTAGCAAGTTAGACAAAGTCTTCCCTTGGTGGTTTTACTTTTCAGAAATTTCTTGGTCAAGTGTGGTGGCACAGACCTGTAATCACAGCACTAGGGAGGCTGAAGCAAGACCACATTGTACTCAAGGCAGTGAGACCTGTCTTAAAAAACAAAACAGTGCGTGTTCTTGGATGGGCTGGGGTCAGCCCAATGGCACAGCACTTGCCTAGCACACACAAGTCCCTGGGCTCAGTCCCTGAGACCGTATCCATATATTCATCCATTCATCCATACAGGAAGGAAGGAAGGAGTGGATACTTCTCTGGGGCTTTTAGGCATGTCATGGCAGATACAGTTTAGGATCAACTTGCCAAGTTACTATAAACGCCTTACTGTGTTTTAATTGAGACTTTCTGGATTTTGTGAATGAATTTAGGGAATTTATAGAGTAATTTTAGGAGACTCACTCTGGTTGTCCGCATTTGATGAATGAGTACAAGGGAGTTAAAGGCAGGGACATTTTTTACTGTTTATTTTTTTGGTACTGGGGATTGAATTCACAACCTCGTCCTTGCTGGGCAGGCACTTATGCCACTGAGCTAAATCCCAGCCCTGTCTGCCTTGTTTTTATTCCTTCTGTAAAAGATCAGATAGTAAATATTTTTAGTCTCATAGGCTCTATAGTCTCTGTGGTCATTGTCTTGTCATTATAATTTGAAAGCAGAGAAACACAATAGGTAAATAAGCTGGCACATCTGGATTGCATTGTAACTATTAATCAAAAGAAAAAAGAAAAAAAAGGCAAACCATACTTGTTTTGCAAGTTATCTTTTCCCAGCTCCTGATGTAGGCTGTTGCAGTAATTCAGGTGAGAGGCTATACTACCATAAACAGAAGATAACAGAAAACAGCCAGGCGGGGTGGCCTATAATCTCAGCACTCAGCAGGGCCTGTAATCTCAGCACTCAGCAGGATGAGGTGGAAGATCTCTGTGAGTTAGAGATCTGCTTAAAAAAAAATAAGGCAAGGGAAAAGAGGCTTAAAAACAAGCGCTTCCTGGTGTGGGCGCTGCCAGGGTGAGATCAGAACCGAGACCCAAGATGTTTAACAGAAGTTTATTGATGGCCTTAGTGAGAAAGTCAGGGTGTGGTCAGGATTGAGGTGTCCAGTGGGGTGTGGGTTAGAAACCAAGGAAGGTGGGAGGTGGCGATAACTCACGTATTAAACTTTTAGGGATGGGCCAGGGATATAGCTGGCAAGTGCAAGGTGCTGAGTTCAAATCTCAGTACCAGAAAAAAAAAAAAAACTAAAAAACTTAGGGCTGTGAGGAGCAGCAGGGAGGGTAGTAGCGAAATGACAATGTGGGGTCAAGCCAGGGATGTAGCTCAGTGGCACAGCCCCTGCCTGGCCAGCAGGAGGTCCTGAGTTCAATTCTTGGTACCAAGAAAGAAAAGGTGGAGTCAGCAGGAAGCTCTTTTAAAAACAGACCTTCAGGCTGGCCTGGCGATGCACACCTGAAATCCCAGTGCTCTGGGAGGCTGAGGCAGGAGATTACTAATATAGCCCAACCTGGGTAACCTAGTGAGACCCCGGCTCAAAACCAGAGTGTAGCTCCGGGCCAAGGTCTTGGTTTAGTTCTATTCCTCAGCACTGAAAAATATATAAATAGAAAAAAAAAGAGAATCTTGAGATTTTTAAGCACTGGTGAGAAGCTGAAGAGAGACAGAGAGACAAGAGTGAGAGATAAATGTCCTCAGAGAGCGGCTAGGCCCATCACGAGCTATGCAGATTTAGAAACTGATTCTTCCTTTCCTTCAAGAGGCTCTTTGGCCCAGGTGTCAGACTGGAGAGGCCACTTAGGAGTCACCAGGGTGTTGGACATGAAGGGGAGGAGAGGAGGCAGCAGCTGCAGGGTCAGGCTAGGCCGGGCAGGCAGGCCTCGGGCTCTGGCCTCGGGGCTCACCCTGGGCCTGGGCTCTCGGGGGAAGTGTGTTTAGGTCTCCACACAGCAAAACCTTACAGAATAGCTGTGGTTCCCAATCTGATAACTGAAAATTCATTTTGATCAACAGCCCCACTCAGCACCTACAGAACTGGAGGTTCCTGCCCTGGCGATGTGGGGGCCTGGTTTTTAGGGCACCATTCAGCTCCCCCTGCAGGCCGTACTTGGGAGGTTCAGTTTTTTGAGCTCTGGCTCCGAGGACCTGGGTTATAAATAAGCACAGCCACAGGGTTATTGTGCCTAGCTAGGCGCCAGCCCTTGAGCACCTCTGACCTGGCTGTGGCTTCTCGGTGTGTCCTGCTGGGCTCCTGCGTGTGGATCGAGCTCACACACACCCTACCCTGGTGTGCGCTCCCAGCATCTGAGAGCAATCAGTGCGGGTGGTGGAGTTTGTAGAGAGAAGGAAAACTCGCCCTACTTAGGGCACTGAGGCCACGCGAGCTTTCTTCCCAAATCTTTGGGGGTTTCTCTTTGAGCAAAGAAGCCCAGGGGACAAGTGGCCTGCATTAGCCTTGAACTTGTAGCAACTCTCCTGCCTCAGCTTCCCAAGTACAGTGATTACAGGCATGGGTCACCGCGCCTAGCCGCCACCCTTTTCTGAAATTACTATTTTTAATTTTGAGACACGGTACTGTTAGTTGCTCAGGCAGGATTCGAATTGTGTCTTAACCTCTCTTGTTGCTGAGATTACAGGTGGGCACTGTTGTGCCCAGTCAGAGTTTTTGGTTTTAGGTAATTTTATTTAAACTTCCACTGCAGTATGTGGCTGCTGGCTTCCCTGCTGGACAGTGCAGCTTTGGGAAGCCATAATCCAAGTTGGTTTTTATGTATTCATTGTGCAAACAGTCACTGGTCACTGAGTGACCACGCAGAGGGAGGCTTTCAGCTCTGGCAGGAGCTCGGGGCTATTTGGGGAAGGGGTGGGGATCGGTCCTGGAGGCTGAGGCCCCTCCAGTGGGCAGGAATGTGTGCAGCAGATGTCCTGATTCCAGAGCGCGGTCCCTCCTTGGGGGTAGTTGTCTGTCTCTAGTTTGGGCCCCCGAGAGCACCCTTTGGTAGAGGGGATCACGCTGGGAGACAGGTGTGTGTCTTCACGTACCCCGAGGTCCCCCTTCTTTTTTTCGGCAGTGCTAGTTTGAACCCAAGGCTGTGTGCGTAGCAGGCAGACGGTCCACTGCCTAGCTGCATGGCCGGCCGCCACTGTGTCTCCTGCTGGTCTTGGTTGGGGCGGGGATGCAGCCCAGAGCAGCCCCCAGGCCCCCTCCCCAGTGCTGAAGAGAAGGCTCGGAAATGAGCCTAGCTCCCTATCCCTCTGGACCTTCTCCCCCCCAGCAGCCCCTGCAGCCTTGCTTGCTGTGGACACCGAGTAGGGTGGCCGTGCACAGACAGCCCTGAGCCTCACGGCAGCCTGAGCCCTGCAGACCTTTTTTTCTGAGACGTTCTGCCTGATCAGTTCAGGCTGGCCTTGAACTTGTGCTGATCCTGCCTTAGCCTCTGAGTGCATCTGGGGATCCCAGCTATGCGCTGCCACGCCCAGCACTGTGTGTGGTTCTCTCGCTGGCTTGAGGTGACCTCTTGTGAGAAAGGGTCAAGGTCTTGGAGCTGCGACAACTCAGGCCACCATCATGTTTATCCTTCCTAAGCTGGGGATTAGCCTTCTGACCCTCGTCCTCTCTCCTGCCTCCTCCCGTCTAGATGGTGTCCTACTCCTCGGTCCTTACAGCCATCAGTAAGGTATGAGCACCAGGGTGGGGTGGGGTGAGGACAGAGCTGTGTTGGCATGCCCCAGGCCGCCTCGCTGTGCTCTGAGGCTGGCTTCCTCTGTGCGGAGCTGGCCCTGGAGGCAGGGCTGGTAGGTGGGAGCCTGGGTCCAGAATTCCAAGGATGCTGGGCTGAGCCCTGAGGTTGGAGGAAAGAAGGGGAGTCCTGCACACACACTTTGAGGGAGACTGGGCTGATGGGGGACTCTGTTCTCGTCATAGTTCGACGACTTTTCCCGGGAGCTGTGTGTGCAGGCCTTGCTGGACGTCATGGACATGTTTTGTGACCGGCTGAGGTAAGGGCTGGGAGAGGGCTCACCCTTCCTGTGTGCTTCTGGGGTGAGAAGCAGCCCCCAGCACGGAGGGGACAGCAGGCCTGGGCTCCCACGTTTCTGCACTACCTGCCCTGCCCGCCCCTCCTTTTCTACCAACTCCCTCCACGTGAAATGCCGGCTCCCCAATTGGACCGGCTCCCTGAAATGTGGCCTGCTGGAAGGCAGCCAGGTTAGGTGTTTTCCTGGGACTTGGCTGGTTTTCTAGCTCTCCTCTGGCAGGGGAGCCGGGGTCCGGGGACGTCGTGAGGGTTGGGTTCAGACACTGGATGCCGCCCCTCCTGTCCCTCTGCAGCTGCCACGGCAAGGCTGAGGAGTGCATCGCGCTGTGCCGAGCCCTGCTCAGCACCCTCCACTGGCTGCTGCGCTGCACGGTGGCCTCGGCCGAGTGGCTGCAGGAAGCCCCCGAGGCCAGCGGCCAGTCCTCCGCGGAGAAGCAGCTCGCCCTGTGCCTGCAGCGCCTGGAGAAGACACTGGGCAGCACCAAGAACCGCGCCCTGCTGCACATCGCCAAGCTGGAGGAGGCCTGTAAGCCTCGAGGTGCCCCGCCAGGCCTGGGGGGACAGGAGGGGAAGACGTCTTCCACTGCTGCCCCGAAGGTTGGAGATCAGAGGTCGGAGGGCAGGCATCTTAAGGAGCCTGGTTCAGGAGGACCCACAGCAGGTGGCCGTCAAAGAGCGTGCAGTAGGGTCCCTGCCTGCGGGTGCCAGCCGGCACATCCCGGCTGCAGGTTAGCGGGCGGGCCAGCCACTGCTTGCCCCTCTGTCTCTTCTGTGGATGCACAGACTCCCGGATTCCAGGGTGACCTTTTTTGTTTTTGAGTCAGGGTCTTACGATGTGTTCAGATTAGCGTTGAACTCTCTATGTAGTCCAGGCTGGCCTTGAATTTGCAGCCATCCTTCTGCCTCAGCCTCCTGAGTGCTAGGATTGCAGGTGGGCGCCATCACGCCTAGCTTCCCCAATTCCTTTTTCCTTCTTTTTTTTTATTTTGAGATAGAGCCTCAGTATGTCACTAAATTGCTCAGCAATTGAATTTATGGTTCTCCTGCCTCACCCTCCCAGACTGCAGGCATTATAGGCAGGTGCTGCTATGCCTGGAAGAATAGTTAATTTTTTTCTGTTCTGATCAGATTTTGTTTTATTTTAGATATACCTAATGATCACATTCATGGCAGAGAGTTGTACCTGTGCACGATATAACATCTTTTTCTCCCCAATTCCCCACTGTCCCTTCTCCCTCCCATTAGGAAGCTGTGAGAATACTTCATTTCGGTGCTGTGGGAGGCTCTGAGGCAGCTGTCACCATGACTCACCCTGTGGCCCCCTGGAGTTGCAGGGGGGGCCCTGTATGTAATTCAGTGCTCACATGCAGTGGAAAGCGTGGGTCAGCCTTGCAGGCAGTGCTAGCAGAACAGACCCCAGGGCCCACTTGGGCCAGGACCATCTTAGCAGGGACAGCATGGCCAGGCCTGGATGTGGTGGCAGTTAGGAGGGGGCTCTGGCCAATGCCTTAGTGCCAATGCCCTGGCTGGGATGACACTCTAGCCATGCCCTGCGCCTAGGATCCGCCCCTGCAGTTCAGTGTCGGTGCCCAGGTCCTCCTCCCCCCCGCCCCATCACGCTTCCTGTCCTCCCCTCTGCAGCCTGCTGGGCGGCCATCGAGCAATGCTTGCTTAAGCTTGGGGAGACCTTGGCCAAGCTCAGCAACCCCCAGCTCCGAAGCCAGGCCGAGCAGTGTGGGGCACTCATCAGGAGGTACCAGCAGGGAGAGGAGGCATCTGGGGCTTGGCCGAGGGGGTGGGGCCCAGCCCACCTTCACCCCACCTGGCCCTCTGTTCCCAGCATTCCCAGCATGCTCTCCGTACGCTCCGAGCAGCTGCATGAGACCGGCTTCCCCACGGTGCACGCGGTGGTGCTGCTGGAGGGCACTATGAACCTGACGGGCGAGATACAGCCACTGGTGGAACAGCTGATGATGGTGAAGCGCATGCAGGTGGGGCCTGGGCCACGCGGGAACCCAGCCCTGGGATGCGCCTCCGCCTCCTCCTCCTCCTCCTCCTTGCTCACCCTGCTTTGCCCACAGCACATCCCCACCCCGCTCTTCGTGCTGGAGATCTGGAAGGCCTGCTTTGTGGGGCTCATCGAGTCCCCTGAAGGCACCGAGGAGCTCAAGTGGACGGCGTTCACCTATCTCAAGGTGCCTTTGCCTCCTGTCCTCAGCTGACCCAGGGCCCAGCTGCCCAGCCCTTGCCACAGGGTAAAATCACCTGTTGCCCTGATGTCCCAGGCTGTTTTCAGTCCCCTCTGCAGGCTGGCACTGGGCAGCACCTGGCAGCTGGTGCACACTTGTGCTGTGCCATTTCCCATCCCCAGCAGTGAGAGGTCCCTGTGTCCCACAGCCAAAGGGGCACTGGGCACCTGGATGCCACCAGCTTGCTCAGGCTGACCTCGGACTTGCTGAGAGCCTCCTGCCTCAGCCTCCCAAGTGCTAGGTGTGCAGGCACCCACCACCATGCCCAGCTCCACCACAGGCTTCCAATAGGGCCTGGGAGCTGTGTCACTCTAAGGGCAGGAGTGTCCTCAGTTCTCGGCGCCTTGGGTAGGGCAAGGGGACCAAGGATGGGGGTAGGGAAACACTGCTCCCATTTGCCTGCCTCCCTAGATTCCACAGGTGCTGGTGAAGCTGAAGAAATACTCTCACGGGGACAGGGTGAGTCAGGGAAGAACAGAGAAGGACAGGTGAGGGGTGGGTGAGGCTGTCTCCACCCAGAGAGACAGGCTAGGGAGGCTCAGCTGTCGTGGGTGTCACGCAGTCCTGGCGGGGAAAAGGCGGGAAGCGTGTTGTGTGTGCACTGGAACCGGAACTGCTTGTGTTCACACACACTGGGCTCCAGTGGAGGCTGCTAGGTATGGGCTCTCCGGGGTGCAGGCTTGTCCCTGATGACAGGGCTAGGAGGCCCCGTGGACGCAGGCATAGCTGGAGCATCTCCCCAGCCTCCAGCTGGTGCAGGGGGCTCCCGCTGCTCCGGTTGTCAGCGGGGCATCCTGTGAGCATGGACAGTGCGCTGCCCACGGGGAGGCAGGGAGGACCTGAGCCCAGGGGGACTCTCGGACTCTTGTAGGACTTCACTGAGGACGTCAACTGCGCCTTTGAGTTTCTGCTCAAGCTCACGCCCTTGCTAGACAAAGCCGACCAGCGCTGCAAGTATGGATGCCCAGGGGCACTGTGGTGCCTGGCTGGCCGCCCCTCTCCTCACTCCTCGCTGGCCGCTGGGCACTGAGCCTGCCTCCCTCTCTTCACTCTCCCCACAGCTGTGACTGTACCAACTTCCTGCTCCAGGAGTGCAACAAGCAGGGGCTGCTGTCCGAGGCCAACTTTGCCAACCTCATGGCCAAGTGGTGAGTTGGCACTGGGCCGCCCTGGGCCTGGTGACCTGACCTGTCTGTAGCCTGGGTTGCAGGTGCCTGGGACTGTGTCGTGGAGTGCAGGGAACAGCAGCTAAAAGGAGACACTGACCTCATCAGGCTAGATTTTTGTTTTTATTTTTTTTTAATTTAATTTAATTTAATTTTATTTTATTTTATTGTCTTTTTCCTTTTTATCGGTACCAGGGATAGAACTGACGACTGCCTGCTTGCAAGGCAGGCACTTATGCCGCTGAGCTAAATCCTCAGCCCCGATTTTTGTTTTTAAAAAAAAAATTGTTTTTTGACTGCTGAGGAATTGAACCCAGGGCCCTTGGTGTACTGGGTGAGTGCTCTACTGTGGAGCTGCAGCCCCAGCCCCACCACTTGGTTGTTTTTGAGAGAGTCTCACTGTGCAGTTCAGGCTGGCCTTACACTTGCTGTATCCCAGGCTGGGCTCATACTGTCAGTGATTCTCCTGTCTCAGCCTCCTGCGTGCTAGGATTACAGGCATGTACCACTACCCCCGGCTTCTTCCATTAATTTTTTTTTGTCTTTTTCCTTTTTATCAGTACCGGGGATTGAACTCACGACTGCCTGCTTGCAAGGCAGGCACTTATGCCGCTGAGCTAAATCCCCAACCCCTTCCATTAATTTTAAAGGAATTTGCAAAATAGATGTAAAACCTGATGGCAAGTAGCAGTGACCACAGTGCAGTATTAAAAGCCCTTTCATAAACTTCAGCCAGCCTCAAAGTCTCTTTTCATTAATTTCCATAGTTTGTGGGTCTGGGGCCTGAGTCTGGGGTCTCATGCATGTGAGGCAGGTGCTCATACGCAGGCCCAGCTGTATCCCCCGCCTCCCCAGTTCCCCCTCCGTTCTGCGTCCCTGCCACTAGAGCATCAGCGACTCGCTGCCTCTGTCCCTTCCCCTGGCCATAGCAAGGCAGACCGGGAGCAGGCGCCACAGCTGAAGTCGGCCGAGAATGCCAATATCCAGCCCAACCCCGGACTCATCCTGCGGGCGGAGCCCACTGTCACCAACATCCTCAAGGTGAGCGCTGGCCCTGGCTCCCTGCTACGGTCACCCATTGTTTCTGTCCCGTCCTCCGTGTGCAGATGAAGAAGTGACTGCAGCCCCCTCTCCTGTCCTGCTCCTCCAAGCGGGTGCTTTGAAGGCAGAGGGGTGAGGCCAGGGCTAGTGCCCCTGCAGGCTGAGTGCCCTGTGTGTCCCTGTGTCCCGAGCACACCTAGGACGGGGGTGGGGGGCGATTGTGACAGCCTGTTTGGCAGGGGCAGATCTCAGGGCATGGGAAGATGTAGGGGTGATTCTGCAGACAGGAATCGGAAAGAGCTGAAGACCCTGCAGAGTGTGTGCGCTGGGCACAGAGACACGTAGCGGGGAGGTGTGGCTGGCTTGCATGAGGTCTCCCATGCCCTTGAGAGAGGACTTGACTTCCTGTCCTGTCCCCAGACTATGGATGCAGACCACTCCAAGTCCCCAGAGGGGCTGCTGGGTGTCCTGGGACACATGCTGTCCGGGAAGAGTCTAGACCTGCTGCTGGCCGCTGCCGCCGCCACCGGGAAGCTGAAGTCCTTCGCCCGGAAGTTCATCAAGTGAGATAGCATCGCCCTGAGCTGGGAGGTGCCTCCTGCCTGAGGCTTCCATGCTCCCTGCTTCCCTGGGCCCCAGCAGCTCTGCCTTCTCCCCGTGATGGCCCTGAGATGCTGGCATGGCGGGGCTCTTAAGTAGAGGCCGTGGAAGGGTCAGCACCAGCCCAGTTCCAATGCCACTGTAGATTAACCTGCATTTTTTCCTTTTTCCTTTATACTGGATATGGGACCCAGTACCTTTACACTGAGCTGCATCCTCCAGCCATTTTCTGCTTGTTGTTTTGAGACGAGGTCTTGCTATGTCACCCAGGCTGGCCTGGCACTCATGGCAGTCCTCCTGCCTCAGCCTCCTGAGTGCCAGCATGATGTGTGTGCCACCATGCTTGGCAGTGGACCTGGAATTTGACATACGGGACGTTGTCCCTCCATGAGCCATTCTCTGGGCCCTAGAAACCCTGGACTTGTAGAGATGGCTGTCTCTCCTGTAGCAACCCCGCTCCTCTTACAGTTAAGCTGTGACTTAACATTTCCATTCTGTCCGCAGCCTGAATGAGTTCACAACACACGGTCCTGGAGAGAGCAGTGAGTTGGCATGGGCCCACTGTCGCCTGGTACCGGGGTGGGGTCCCTGGGTTCTTTCCGGGTTCTGGGTCTCCCCAGCCCTGACTGACAGAGGCTCTGGGAGCCTCAAGAGTGGACAGCGCTGAGAAGGGACCCTTTGCCCTCCTCCTACCGGCCCCCTCCACCCTGGTGTGTCAGTGAGAAGGGAAGGTTCTAGAAGTCTAGGACCCCAGGAAGGGATGATGTTCTACTTAAGACTCAAGAAAAGGATTCTGAGCCTCGGGCTTTGAAGGAGCCCTCTGGTCCCTGACCTTCCTCACCCAAGCTCCATGTGTCCTGCCTGGCAGGCCTGGCTGCCCCTGCTGAGGGTCACCCTGTCCCCTTCCTGCAGCCAAGACGGCCTCGGTGCGGGCCCTGCTCTTTGACATCTCCTTCCTGATGCTGTGCCACGTGGCCCAGACCTATGGCTCAGAGGTGAGGCGGGCATGCGGTGGCCTCGGGATTCCCTGGGGAGGGTAGAGGCTGGAGGTGGCTGGGGATGCCCACGGCCCAACAACCCCCAGGCCTGTTGATTCTGCTGGGCTGGGCATTGGTGCCACTTTTGGGAGTCCCTGAGGTCCCTTGCACGGCCCAGTCTGCTGGTGCCTGCCCCACACCGGCCACAAGGTGGCAGCAGCACGCCACTGGCTGCCCTGGAGCTGGCTCTCCCTGCCTGCAGTCAGGAAGGGATGGGCGCCACCTCCGCACCTTCCCCATGCAGGTGATCCTATCCGAGGCCAGCTCAGGCTCGGAGGTGCCCTTCTTTGAGACCTGGATGCAGACCTGTATGCCGGAGGAGGGCAAAATCCTGAACCCCGACCACCCCTGCTTCCGGCCCGATTCCACCAAAGTGGAGTCCCTGGTGGCCCTGCTGAACAACTCCTCCGAGATGAAGCTGGTGTCAGTGAGGGGCACGGTGGGGAGAGTGAGCCCCCCTGCACCCCCTGTGTGCACTCCCTGGTGACGGCCCCGCCTGCCCCTAGGCAGATGAAGTGGCATGAAGCCTGCCTCAGCATCTCAGCGGCCATCCTGGAGATCCTCAACGCCTGGGAGAACGGGGTGCTGGCCTTCGAGTCCATCCAGGTAGGGAGCAGTAGCCCCGGGGCAGGGCAGGTGTGGGGCCATGATGAAGCACCCTGCCCTCCCAGTACTCTGGAGGCTGAGGCAGGAGAGTTGCTGGGAATTCAAGGACAGCCTGGGCTCCACAGTGAATCCAAGGCCACTTGAACTGCGAGGAAGACGCTGTCTCCGAAAAGTGAATAAATAAAATGCCCAACACTAATGGACAGGAAGCCCCTCAGGAGCTCAGGTCCCTCAGGTTCGGGGCCAGTCTTCCGTAGACTCAAAGGCTCACCCTCCTCCCACCCGGGCGGCCCTGCGTAAATCAGACTTGAGGCTCAGAGGGGGGACAGGGCCCCGACTCCACCGGCTGCCCTTGGGCCAGGAAGGGAGAAGGTGACCCGGCCACCTTCCCCTTGCAGAAGATCACCGACAACATCAAGGGGAAGGTGTGCAGCCTGGCTGTGTGCGCCGTGGCCTGGCTGGTGGCCCATGTCCGGATGCTGGGCCTGGACGAGCGCGAGAAGTCGCTGCAGATGATCCGTCAGCTGGCGGGGCCGCTGTACAGCGAGAACACGCTGCAGTTCTATAATGAGAGGTCGGCCAGCCCCACCCCACTGCCGAACCCCCTACCTCACCCCACCCCAGCCAGCAGGGCCCTGGAGTCCAGCTCTGTCTCCAGGCCTCTTTTATTCTACTTTGAAGGTGCGGCTGGTTAAGTTGCTAAGTTGCACAGGCTGGGTGCAACTTGAACTTTGCATCCTCCTGCCTCAGCCTTCCTCTGGCATCTTCTGTGTGCTGGAAAAGCGAAGGGTGCTTCCCATCCCCAGAGGGCTCCATTTGGAGAGAACTACTGAGGCAAGGAGCAGAGGAACCCACCTGCGCCATCCCAACCCTGGTGTGGGGTTTGGACCCATCTGTAGCGCACACGGCCCTTACTGGCCTTGCTGTCCTATGACCACTTCCCTTGCTGGCTGTTTGGCTGGCTGGGCACCCCTGTGACCTCTGCACTGCTGGTTTTTCTGTGCTCTGTTTTGCTTTTTGAGAAAGGGTCTTGCTCAAGGCTGGGCTTGAACTCACTCAAGGTGTAGCTCAGGCTTACATGGAACTCATCGTGATCCTCCTGCCTCAGCCTCCCAAGTGCTGGGAAGACAGGCGTGCAGCCCCATGTCCGGTGGGTTTTCCAGCCTCACAGCACCCTAAGCAGCCATAGTGCTGCTGGAGGGTTGGGGTCACCCCTACTGGGCGGCAGGATCACAGCCCTCTCACCTTGAACATTTGCCTGCCCATCTGGAAGGCCTTTCCCGCCCTGCCGCCCCATAACCTCTCTTCTGCTTCCTGTCCTGGAGCCCACACGGGTCACCAGAGTTAGGCAATCCTCGTTCCTTGTGACTAAATCATTTCACTGGGCATAATTTCCTTAGCATCCAGCCGGGCGCTAGCATGTGACAGGAATTCCTTCCTGAGGGTGAGCTGTACCCCATCCAGGGAAGGCCACACCCCCGTTATCTGTGTGCCCTGGTGTATGCTCGGGCTCCGCCCACAAGGGGTGAGTCAGCAGAGTGGGTGGGGCCTCTCACAAGGTGGCGTCTAGGGGTATCAGCTCCAGTGAGGAGTGGGAGGCCATGTCTGTTTGCCCTTTGCTATCTTTGCCTGGCTGACTTTCTGACCTTTGAGACGCAGCCTCACTGTGCGTTCAGGCCGGAACTCACTCTGCAGCCAGTGAACTCCGGGTGCCCCTGCCTCGGCCGCATCTGTGATTCCAGGCCCTTGCTTGCCCGGCCTGCTTTGCTTTCTTTTTCCCTTTGTTTCCTTGGTGCCCCCCTTCCAGAAGCCTTGCTCTGCCCTAGTCCCTCTTGAGCAACTCCGTCCTGGGGTGCAGGGCACTGAGAGCCGGGGCTCCCTCAGCGCAGGTGCAGAGTGGCCAGGCCCTCTGCGGGGTCAGAGCCCTGGAAGGCCCAGGAGAGGCAGGGATTCCTGGACGTCCTCACAGCGGCGCCTGCCCGGCACCCACAGCCGGGAAGAGCGCTGCGGGGCAGCTGGGCCTCTCCTGGAAGCCACAGTTTACTCTGGGAAGAGGCCAGGGCTGGGCGGGGACCCCCAGCACTCGGGGAAGGGAGCGATCAGATTTATTTATTTCTGTCATCAGCTTGGCAGAGCCCGCTGGGGGGAGGAGAGGCAGAGGGTCAATGACCGTCCAGTCGGGCGGGCAGTGAAGGCCCAGCCTCCGCGGCCATGTCCAGCAGGTGCCAGTCCTGCCTGGAACGGGGAGTCTTGCCACCTCTGCGGGGCTCGCTGTGCCGGGGCTTCTGTAACCCGAAACGGGGGCGGCCACGTGTTCCCACAGGGTGGTGATCATGAACTCCATCCTGGAGCACATGTGCGCCGACGTGCTGCAGCAGACGGCCACACAGATCAAGTTCCCGTCCACGGGCGTGGACACCATGCCCTATTGGAACCTGCTGCCCCCCAAGCGCCCCATCAAGGAGGTGCTGACGGGCGTGTTTGCCAAGGTGCTGGAGAAGGGCTGGGTGGACAGCCGCTCCATTCACATCTTTGACACCCTGCTGCACATGGGTGGCGTCTACTGGTTCTGTAACAACCTGCTCAAGGTGTGTGGCAGTGGTGGGGGCACCTGGGGCCCCCAGGACCCCCGGGCTCCGCCCAGTACCTCTCAGCACCCCGCCCCGCCTCCCGCAGGAGCTGCTAAAGGAGACTCGAAAGGAGCACGCGCTGCGGGCTGTGGAGCTGCTCTACTCAGTCTTCTGCCTGGACATGCAGCAGGCCGCGCTGGTGCTGCTGGGCCACATCCTGCCGGGCCTGCTCACCGACTCCTCCAAGTGGCCCAGCCTCATGGACCCACCCGGCACCGCGCTGGCCAAGTAGGGGTCTCTTCTGGGCCCCGCTCCCAAGGCCCTGCCCTGTGCCTGCTGGCAGCCACGAAGCCGGGCCCCGGGTGCCCAGCAAGCCATAACTGTGACCCACCTCCCCCCCCCCCACCCTTTGTAGGCTGGCCGTGTGGTGCGCCCTGAGTTCCTACTCCTCCCACAAGGGACAGGCATCCTCCCGCCAGAAGAAGCGACACCGGGAGGACATTGAGGTGGGGGACTCTGGCCGCCTGAGCCCCATCTTTCTCCTCCCTCTGGTGTGGGAAGGCTGAGGGGAACTTGCCCCCTAGGGATGCAGCAGGGCTCTCAGGAAGCTGAGCACTGGCTGGGCGTGGTGGTATGCACCTGTCATCCCAGCGACTTGGGAGGCTGAGGCAGGAGTATATGCAGTCCTGGGCCAGCCTGGGCTACATAGCAAGTCACAGTATAAAACGCAGGCTGGGGCCAGAGCCGAGTGGCTGAGCACCACCCAGCATGCACTAAACCCTGCCCACATCCTGGTCCTCTCAGAGTTCTTGGGACATGGCGCATGGGTGCCAGCCAGCACCTCTGCTTCCCACCAGGATTATATCAGTCTCTTCCCGCTGGATGACGCACAGCCGTCCAAGCTCATGCGGCTGCTGAGCTCCAACGAGGAGGACGCCAACACCCTGGCCAGCCCCAGTGAGCCCCACGCCCCACACCCCACACCCTGCTCAGCCCCATCAAGGGCCGGCAGCTGCCCTGCGGCCACCCTGGTGTAGGGCTGCTGTTGCCAACCCAAGGGGTGGAGGCTTCTGGGCCCAGGCAGCTCCCGCTCAGGCAGATGGGGGATGTGGGCCCCACGGCCACAGTCCGGCCTCCTGCTCCCTCCCTTCTGGGCAGGGTGGGGGGTGCTGGATCCCCCCACACTTCCACCCCAGCCCCGTGGGGGTCTTTGAGTCCCCAGTGCCCAGGGCCTCCCAAGCCTGCAGGTTCCCTGGCGGGATGGGCGCTGAGTACTTGGTGGCATCATCTGCTGGAAGTGTCCTGGGTGTTGGTCCTAGCCCCGCTGCCATGAGAACTGCCCTGGGGTCTCCCTGGGCACTGTATGTACCCTGCAGGCCAGCGAGCAGGTTGGAGCTGTGTCCCCTCCTGCCCACAGCTGATCGCTCCATGAACAGCTCCCTGTCCGCCTCACAGCTGCACACGGTCAACATGCGGGACCCCCTGAACCGAGTGCTGGGTGAGCATCCCTGCCCCCGTTTCCCCCAGCTACTGGCTCTCTGGACTGCTTGGGGCTACTGTTTGCCTTTCCCACTGTCTCTTGTTTTTGTTTTTTTTTGTTTTTTTTTTTTTTGGTACCAGGTATTGAATCATGACCTCACGTTTGCCATGCAGGCACTTACACCACTAAGCTAAACCCCTGGCTGGCTCTTGGGTTTTGAGACAGGGCCTCACTGGTTCAGGCTGGCCTTTGGCTCATGTTTGTAGTCGCTCTGAACTTGTGGCGATCTGCCTGCCTCATCCTCCTGAGAGCTGGGATTACAGGGATGCGCCCCATGCTCAGCTTCTTTTCTCCTCTTGAGCCCACTGGGTACCCCATCTGCCCCTACCTGGTCCCTCATGTAGCCCCCCTCACACTCCCCTGCGCAGCCAACCTGTTCCTGCTCATCTCCTCCATCCTGGGCTCGCGCACAGCTGGCCCACACACGCAGTTCGTGCAGTGGTTCATGGAGGAGTGCGTGGACTGCCTGGAGCAGGGTGGCCGCGGCAGCATCCTGCAGTTCATGCCCTTTACCACTGTGAGTGCAGGGTGGGCCCTGGCTGGGGCAGGGCACCCTGAGGCTGTGGGGACCCCAGCCCCAAGCCTCCACTCTCCCTGGCTGTGTGGCAGGTATCAGAACTGGTGAAGGTGTCAGCCATGTCCAGCCCGAAGGTGGTCCTGGCCATTACAGACCTCAGCCTGCCTCTGGGCCGCCAGGTGGCCGCCAAAGCCATCGCCGCCCTCTGAGGCATGGGACTGTCAGAGTGAGCCCTCGGTGCTGGGCGCCAGGGCCGGACTTGGGAGCTCCCTTCGCTGGACCTTCCCCACCTCTGCCCTGGGGAGGGGGAAACTGCCACAGGGATGTGCAGATGTTTCCTGTGTGCACAGGGCAAGCTCGGCCTTGAAAGGCCGGGATGTCACCTCGATGTCTTCTAAATAAAGGCCCTTGGGCTCCTTAGTCACCAGAAGTGCTGTGGGTGTCTGGGTCTGCAGTCTCCTTGGGGTCTGCTTATGCTGGACTGAGGAGAAGGGGGAGGAGCGTGGAGCAGCAGGGGAAGCAGTCTCCTCTCCGAAGACCTGGCTGGTGCCCTGTGGTGCTACAGTGCCATGCAGGGGCAGGGTGCCCTGCTCTGTGTCACTCCACCCTGTCCCCGCAGTGTGGTTCTGGCCCTGTGCTCCCAGGAACCAGTAGGGCTGGGGCCTGTTGGGGTCCCTCTGATAGTGATGGCCATAGCCTCAACCTCTGGAGGACAGTGGCCGCAGAGGGGAGACAGAGACATAAGATTGGGCAGTTGGTGCCGCCTCAGCTAGGCAGGGCCCAAGTCCTGATACCCCGAGCAGCTTTGGGGAGGCCTGGGGCCTGCACTGGCTCGCTGACCACCCAGGGCCCAAACTCAGGTGGGCAGGGCTGTGTACGCCTTTCCCCGTGGTGGCCCAGCACCTGGGTCAGGTGCCAGGAAGGAATGTGGGGGACCAGGATCTCCCTCCCCAGCCCGTCCCACCTCCACCTCATCCCTGGACTCAGAGAGGAGCCAGACGGACACTCAGGAACCAGCAACTTTATTGTTCTCAAACTTGGTCACAGTGAGAAAGCAGGGCAGGGCCTCCTTGGACCCTTTGTCTTTCTCTCCATCCCCTTCTGGGCCTCAGAGAACCCCACCTTGGTGAGGGCTGGGGCAGGCACCCTGGAGTCAAAGCCCGCCCAAAAACCACAGAAAGAAAAACTGGATTCGGCAGGGTGGAGCCTGCCAGCCCCCCCCCCCCCATCCTCCAGAGCTGGGGAGGGGTGGGAGTTGGGGAATGGAGGGGACCCAGTCAGGAGGTGGGAACACTGCTGTTTAAATATTAAACAGGGATGTCGTCCCCCACGCGGGAGACCCTGATGCTCCTGGCCCTGCAGGGCACAGACCTGGGAATTAATACTTGGTATTTACCTATCCAGCGCCCAGAAGGGGCAGGGAACTGAGCTCCACCTCGTGCTACAGGCAGGAGGGGAACTTGAGACCCAGGGAAGGGCCCCGGAGCCAGAGGCGGGGGCTAGGCTCTCTTCCCTGGGTTTAAATAAGAGAGTTAAATAAGCATAAATATTAAATAGAGATAAATAGGTGGGTGGGGCTCAGGGCCGGCTGAGGTAGCGCAGAGCCCGGAGGGCCAGCTCCAGGAAGTCTTGCAGGTGCGAGGCCACCAGCACCCCACCGGCCTGGCGCTGGAAGGCAGAGGTGAAGGCGGGCACGGTGCCCAGGGTGGGCTGTGCGGCTGGGGCCACCCCCAGGTCCTCCATCTGTTGGGGAAGACTGGATCAGAGGCCACTCCGCACCCTGGGCCAGCAGCAGGAGGAAGTGGTCCAGTGGGGAGGCAGGAGATCCCCGGAGAACCCTAGTGTGCTGCGGGCTACATTCCAGTGTGACCACTTCCCTGTCCCCCAAAGGCTCACCTGCTGCCACACGGTGGTGGCAAAGTCAGCGACATCCAGCCTCAGCAGGTCCACAGAGGATGACAGTGCAGGGGAGATTCCCGCCAGCGCCTGCAGGAGGCCCTGGTACAGCATGAGCCCAGCCTGAAGCTGGCGCAGGCAGCCGAGCTGGGGAAGGGGCAGAGAGTGAAGCGCCCTGCTGGGGCGGGCACCGGGGTGCAGTGTGGCCCCCTCCTCTACCGCATCCCTGCCACTTACCAGCTGCAGGTCCCGGCTGGAGCAGCTCCTCAGGGAAGCCCACGGGATGCCCAAAGAGTGGCCCAGCAGCGCCAGCTCCTCAGGGTGGCACAGCCGGTGGGTGGCACACTGGGGTGGAAGGATGTGATGTGTCACTGTGGATCCTCGGAGCTTCCTTCCCTCAGCCCCATCCTTGTCTCCAACAGCCACTGCAGCCACTACAGGGCCCCTGCCCACTCCCCTCCCACACCCTGTGTGGTGTCATGGATCCTGTCCTCTGCACCCATCCCTGGTAACCTCCCCATGCTCACCAGCTTCTCCTGCATCACCATAGCCTCAGCCTGGACCCTCCGCGCCTGCTCTGAGCTCTTGAGCATGAAGCTGTGGGGCAGTGACACCGACGGGGGTCTAGCTGGGTCCAGCGGTGCAGCCCCACATCCTGTCCAGAGCGTGCTGGGCCACAGCAGCAGTGGCAGCAGCAGAGCTGGAAGCAGACAGATGCTGCTGCCACTGGTACCAGGTCCCTTCCTGGCAGTACAGAGCGGCTGAGCATCCTGTAGGGGCCCAGGCCCTGGCACCCCCACCCCAGAGCATGAAGCTGATTGCCATACCCATCAGGTTCGCGGGGCTCCAGGCAGTGTGGGCCATAGGGCTTCAAGGAGGGCTGGCTCCCGGCTGGGGCTCAGGTCCACTCCAAGGGCCTTTATACAGAGCCCATGCAGGCCCCTGGGAGGAAATTACCTGTGACCACTAAGGCTTAGTAATAACTTCCCAGGGTTTATGCAAATTTGTCAGTGCTTAGGACAATGCAGGGGGTTGGGACACAGAGCTGTTTGCGAAAGTTTTGTGAAATTGTGGAATCTCTGATCCTTCTTTGACGTAGGGTCCCCCTCAAACTCTCTTCCTCCACTTCAGCCCCACCCGAGGCTTTGACCAGAAACTGACAAAGCAAAGCAGCAGTGTCCTGGAGGCCCGAGGAGAGGCTGGGACTGAGGGTGGGCATAGGTCCTGGCTCAGAACACGCCTCCATCCTCCGGTGGGTACCCCAGGCAGCCCCTCTGCCCCTGTCCTTGGGATTTCCAAGCCACCTGAATCCTAGGTCAAATTCTATGGATGAGGAAGAAGCTAGCTGCCCCATACTCTGACCCCGAAACTCCCAGGAGGCTCTTGGCCTCCTGTGGGCCAGGGCCCCAAGACAGGACCTGGGCCCTTGCTTCCCACACTTGGAGAGGCTTGGGGCTCTGTCCAGGCCATCCCGTCCTAGCTGATTAGCTGGGAACTCCCCAACAACCCCCATGACTCAGCCCTTAAGCCCCCGGAATCCAGGCAGAAGCCAGAGGAAACCGGATGTCTGTCGAGAATGAATCTGGCTCACCTGACCCTGCCCTTCCACCTCCTGGCACTGTCCCTCAGGCTTTGGAATCGGGGGACCAGGACACAATGTTCCCCTGGCCCAGGGAAGAGGCCATCAGCTGCAGTAGCCACTGCCCCGAGGTGGACTGGGCATGGGGTGAGAACGGGGCTCCTGACTGGGCCCCTAGTGCCGAAACCCTGCAGCCTGAGCACTGGAAGCAGCCTAGAGTCCAGTGCAGCCCTGTGAGGGCCCTGCCCATGGTCATGGCACAGAGGTGGTATCTCGGCATAGACTCTGCTTCAGCTCCATATTCTTCAGGCCACGAGTCTTCCCGGTGGCACTGGCCATGGCCAGTGGTCACTCTGTGAATTCACTAACCTGCCACCCTTGGGTCTAAACCTTGAGAGTTATCTGGGCATAGAGGCTGGAGACTGGGTGGACGTCACTGGGGCAGGGGCGCCCTCTGGTGGCCATGCATGGTGGAGGTGTCACTGGCCTGTCTGTCCCATCTGCCACGTGTTGCTTTGAGTTTGCAAACTCATTTACTGTCATGGTGCTAAAACCAATCTGTGGATCTCTCCGTACATCTGCCCTTCCGTGTGTGGGGCTGTCGGCTCCATGACCCTCATCAGCAAGGTGATCCACCGTGTGGACCGAGTGGCATTTCCATGGCACCCCCTCCCCCCAGCCATAGAACCCCAGGAAAGCAGTAATCCAGGTGCTGGGGGTGCTGAAGAGAGCAGTCCACACCTGCACACATTCAGGATAGACACGTTCAGACATTTTCAATTTGAGGTCTCACAGGTGTGTAGCCAGGACTGGACAGTTTGCCAACTCAGGGGCCAGAGAGCAAAAGCAGCTGTTAAAAAACATGCACGAGTGAGGTTCTGCAATCTCAGCACTCTGGGAGGCTGAGGCAGGAAGATGGCAAGTTTGAGCCCAGCTTGGGTAATTTAGTGATGTAGGGCCGGGGATATAGCTTAGCGGCACAAGAGCTGGCCTGGCAAACACAAGGTCCTGAGTTTGATTCCTGGCACCAAAATAATTTAGCAACTTAGCAAGACACTGTTACAAAATAAAAAATGATGTAGCTCAGCACAGAGGCCCTGGGTTCAGTCCGCACCCAAGGTAAATAAATATTTGGGATTTGAATGTCAAATGTTTTTACATGTTATAAAACACTTTTTTTCCTTAATCATTTAAAAATACGTAAGCTGTTCCTCACTCTGGGCACTGTGCCTCAACCCGAAGGCTTGGTCAATCCTGCTTGAAGGCTTAACTGAGAGGTAGAATTCTACTTTTGTCACTTTTTCAATAAATTGATACCTTGTTAAAATATATTTATAATCTGGTATTTTTTTCTTTTACATTAGGAATCAAATTCTAGACCTTGTGTTTTCCATGAAGGCATTTGTGCCGCTGAGCTGTATCACTGGCTTTTGTCACTTTGGAGACAGGTTCTGTTTCATAGCTCAGGCTGGCCTTGAACTCAGTGATCCTTCTACCTCAGCTTCAGCCAGCCGAGTGAAGGATTTTGGGTGTGGGAAGCAGAATTCTTGGTTACAGGACGCAGTTTTCCCCTGGACAAGTGACAAGCAAGTGCTATAGAACCCAGCACCAGGCAGGTGGGGCAGCCTGGGTGGATGTGGCCAGGGTTCCTGCCCATTCACAAAAGCCCAGAGGTAGGCTGGGGCGCTGCACGGGGGGTCCCCAGCACAGGAGGAGCAGGACCTGGGAGGACCACTAGCAGCCCACCAGGCTCAGCTCGAGAGCCCAGCCCTCCATTCTCCCTGTGGCCCCCTGGGTGGGCAGACACCCTGCTGCCCAGGAGCCCTGGTGTCCACCCCAGGTGTTGCACCCCGCCCCCGGCTCAGAGGCCTCCTGAGGCCCAGGTTCCTGGCACAGGGATGCCCAGGCCTGGCTCTGCAGGTGATGGAGAGCCCTGAGGTCAGAAGGACCAGTCCCAGCCCAGGGACAAAGCTTGAAAGAGTGGGGGAACAGATGGACGGATGGAAGGATGCAGGGCTTTGGAGAACTCTTTATTGTTTAAAAATCTTAACTGAAGCTTCAAAAACCATTCCACCCAATGAACACCCGGGCCCCAGGGCTCCCCCAGCAGTGCCCCCAGTGTGGGCCAGGCCCCTGGGCAGGGGTATGCGTTGCCCCAGCACTGTCCCCAAGGCAGAGGCCAAGCGAGGTGGCGGGGGCTCCCAGCACCCGCACCCCGAACTACGCAGTCTGTGAGCCACGCTTGGGCAGGGCTGGCCCCCATGCAGGGGGCCCGAGGGGTGAGACCAGGCCGGCGCCCCAGCCCCGCAGCCCACTCAGGGGAAGCTGTCGTCATCATCTTCGGCCATCTCCTTGGCAAACTCCAGGTCCTGCTGCTCCCGTTCTCGCCGCTCCTGGGGACGGAGGCAGGGGTATCTAGCTGTGGCAGGTCCCTCCCCACCCCTTCTGTGTGCAGGGTGGCCGTCGGTCACTCACCTCTGCGGACTCCAGGTCCTTGTTGTAGGATTTGGGAGGAAACCGCATAGCCTGGGCACAGCGGGAAAGGCAGTTACTCAGCAGGCCCTGCTAGCTTGGCTAGGTGGCCAGGCAGCCCAGGGGGACCGGGGTGAGGCAGGGTGGGGTGGCGCACCTTCACCGACATGTTGTGGATGTCCAGGCAGAAGGAGATGCGCTGGTGGAAGGCCAGTTGCGGCTCGCGTGTGGAGTAGATGTCGATCATCTCCTTGGACTGCACGTAGCCCTTCTCGTGGTTGATGCTTGCCTCGATGACGCCGTCGCGGATGGCCTGCAGCCAGGTGGCATGACCACAATGCCAGCCCCTCCGTCCCTCCCCGTCCCTGCTCAAGGTGACCTCTGGGCTTCACGGCCACTGTGTCCCCAACTGACCGCGTCCCAGGAGACTGCAGCTGCGCCTTGCCCCACCCCAGCCCTCGGTAACAGCAGCAGCCCAGCCCTACCTTAGCCACAATGAACTCGGCGTCCTCAGGGCTGTCTAGCTGCAGCTTCTGCGCGATATCGGCCAGCGAGATGCGCGAGTAGGAAAGGCTGATCATGCGCACGCCTGCAGGGGAAGGGCCGGTGGGTGTGGGTCAACCCCAGTCCCCAGCCACCCATCCCATGTCCTATGTCCCCACCCGCCCCATGGCCATGCACACCTGTCTTGATCACGTTGTGCCGCAGCCGGATGATGAGGGTGTAGGTCCCATCTGCCTGAAACTTCTCCCCGAACTGATCCAGGACTTGGTTGAACTTGGCCAGGTTCCCGGTCCTGACGGCTGCGGCACAGAGGAGACCGAGGGGGAGGGGTCAGTGTGGGCACTCGTGGGGCGAGTGGGGCGCCCGGGTGGCCTTACCTTGCGTGAGCAGGAAGTAGGGCATGAGTGAGCGCTTGAGCGAGGGCTGGCGGAACTGCAGGCGGTCGGGGATCTCGCCCAGCAGCAGCTCCACTACAATCAGCAGCTTGTGCACCTGAAGACACGGAGGAGGACGCAGCTTGGTGTGTGGGCCAGGGCAGGGATGCCCAACCCAGGCCCCGAAAGGCCTTCGCCTGGGGAGGTGACAGGATGGCTGGCCCTGGTGGGGAGGACAGGGAAGGCCTGGCAGGACCAGGGACTGAGCAGAGGCTGTATATGGACAAGCCGGCACCTGTTTATTCCTGGGGGCACCGGGACTTGGACCCAGGTTGGTCCTGAACTTTGGCCTCAGCAGTTCTGAACTTTCAATTCTGAGCCAGGGTCTGCTAGGTTGCTACACTGCCCAGGTGGGCTCGAACCTGCAATCCTCCTGCCTCGGGCCTCTTGGAGTACTTGGATTACAGGTGCCTGTTGGGCCTTTCTTCCACCATGGAATCACCCTCGCAGTGATCCATGGGTGAGGGGAGACATAGAAATGGCGCAGCAGTAACCCTCAGCTGGTTGGGACACGTTGGGGGACAGGGACTCATGGGGCCTGGCCCGAAGCTCTGCTTAGTCAGCAGAAGTGGCTCAAACAAAGGGGCTGGCAACTTGGGAGGATACAGAGACAACACAGGAGGGGACTGAGTCACTAGGAAATGGGAACATCAGAGAGAGCCCTGGCATCCCACTGCATATGCAGAGTGAAAGGCTCGGGGCTGAGGGGTTTGTAAGGGTCCAACTAGGGACCACGTATCTGGGGCCTCCAGAGACGCAGGGAGCAGAGCAGCTGGCTCTACGGAGCTGGTGCCCCAGACAGGGGACCATCACCCGGCCAAGCTGGCTGTGGGGTACACACCTGTTACCCAGTTACTTGGAAGGCTGAGGCAAGAGGATTTCAAATTCAAGGCCAGCCCGGGAAACTTCAATGCAGCCTTATTTCCAAATAACAAAATACAAAAGGGCAGAGGCTGCAGCCCAGGGCAAAGGCCCCAGGCTCCATGCTCAGCTAATCCTCACCCACAAACACCTACAAAGATGCCAAACAAGACCAATAGTCCCCCAAAGCCACAATCACATGGCGAGGACAAACCCTGGGGTCTCAGCACGTGACCATGTCTAGGGATAAGGCCTTGGCCAAGTGACACACAAGGGCAGACTGCAGGCCAGAGAGACTGGCGTCCTCCCAGAGGGAAGGTACCTTGCGAGGGTCATGTGAACCCTGTGGATGCTGTCACCTTGCGCCCTTAGAGCTGTGACACCACTCCTGTGGCTGAAGACACCTAGTCCCCAACACTTTGGGGCAGGCCTGGTGGGCGGGGCAGGGTGAGGACAGATGTGCAGAGGCCACCTGGAGGGCAGGGGTCCAGGCTGCAACTGCACAGCCCAGGACAGAGGTGGGTTCGATGGGGACTGGGAGACGGGAGGCTGCTGAGGGCAGCAGCAGCAGGAACCCCCGCTTAGCACAGCTGGCCCCCAGTAAAAACAGGGACAGAATGGCTGAAGAGCCACCTGTGGTATATGGCGCCGGAAGCCGGCAGCTGGGCAGAGGGATCTCGCTGGATCTTAAAAACACTGGTGCGGTCACTCTGGGCTTCAACCTTCAGAACGGGGACAAGTAACTTTTCTGATCCTGTTGGTACTGGGATCAAAACCAGGACAGGCTACCATACACCTTGCAAGGTTGGGACTTTTGACCCTCCTGCCTCAGCTTCCCAGGGTGCTGGCACTAAGGGTGTGGCCACTATATGTAGCTGTATTTTATTTTACTTTTTTGGTACTGGGAATCAAACTCAGGACCTTGTGCATGCCAGATAGGCACTTGTGCTGCTGAGCTGTGTCCCCGCTCATTCAGCTGTATTTTTAGTGATTTCTGAGACACTTTAGAAACACTTTAGCATGACACCTACTGCAAGGATCAAGTGGTCTGCACGTGTGTCCCCTGTG